CATCTGCCATCCAGATATCTACAGCAGGGTCTTCTCCCATTCGCATAAGCTGCCATTGGTCGCTAAGTTCTTGCGCTGCCTGCAGAAAGTAACGACCATCCGTCCAAAGCCGTGCTTCATTCTTTGTTACAAGTGCCAAACCTGAACAAGATTCAAAATACAATTCAGTTATGAAAATATGCTTCAAAATTCTCTTTAGAACTAATCAAATTCAAATAGAATCATCGTAAAATTACATAAAGAAGAAAGAAAGAAAAAGACACCGACCAGCACTCCCAGTGAAGCCTGAAACAAATTCACGCCTTTTGTCTCGTGCAGATACATACTCACTCTGCATTAGAACATAAATCACACTATAATCAAACTTTACTATTTCTCATAGGAAAATTAGAGATGAATGAGATTGGATAATTCTGATTCGATTTCTGAAAAATTATAAGAAATTGAAATAACAGTTATGATGATCAATGAAACTGATTAAATTTACAGTTGAAAATTTTCAGATGCATGATTTCAACGAAACATCAAGCATATGATTTACAGATGAAGACCTGGTGATAATCTTCGGAAGGGACGACTAAGGCATCAAGAGGAGGAGAGTGAGACGCCATTAAGGACCTGAGAGCACTGAGAGTGTCCGCCATCGCTCTTCTCGGCCAAGAATTGGAGTCTTTGAAGAATCGAAGAGAGTGACTGTAAATGGAAATGGAGTTTGAGAGAAGCAACAACTTAAAAATGATGTTGATACTCGTTAAAAGTCTTGTGATAAAGTAAGGCTCTGAGTTTCCGAAAGTAACCTTGTCGTGACCCCTCAGTAGTGGTAAATTATACTTGTTTTGGCGCTTACAGTAGGGTTAAAAAGGTTAACGCACGCCAACGTAGTGCGTAAAGTTGTTAAATTCTTTTAGACACCACGAATTAGATTCTTATATCTATAAAACTTTACGAAAATTATTAATAATTATTATAAAATATAAAACAAAAGAGAAAACCATAATTATTATAAACTTTCGGAAAATAATCTTCTCACAAAATGACAGTTTTTTAATATCTTTTATTTATAAATACAAGCTATACGAGAGATAGGGAATCGAATGCTCTTAACAACTTGACCACCTCCAAATCCCTTGCAAATGACAGACAGTTCTTATATTTATGCGGTAGTGATAGCTAAAGCCACCATTTATAGGTTAAATTGAAATCTAGTACTATACTATAGTATATTAGGCTGAATATATTTTTTAGTACAAGCGACAGTCTAAACTATAGGGAAAGAAGATTTCTCACATAAGCACACAATCGAGATGCCATGAGGGTTCAAACCTGAGACCTTTTGTCTGCAAGTCAAGGTCCTTTTCCACTGGACTAGACCTAGTTGGCAGTGTACTAGGTTAGATTAATTAATATTGAACGTTTTGGTATTGTGCTTAAGGTCGAACAACTTGTATTGTGTTTGGTGTTCTGTCAGATATAATTAATTTCTTAATTTTCTACCATACGTTTAACACTTTTTTTTTTGTAGGTTTGTATCCTAATATAACAATGTAACTGTAAAGATCAACTTTGAATTGATAAACCAAAACATAATTAGATCAACAAGAGCAGAAGTCTGATTGCCAGAAATTGCAACTGAGTTCCTGATAATGCTTTTCACCATGTCAACCTTTTCATCAATCAATAGCTCAATTTCACAGAACAGAGCAATAGGAGGACTTCCTGTTCGCAACCAAACTCATCAGCACCAATGGTAAGAAAAGATCAACAAAGCAGAGGCTTGAACAAAATTAAAACAGAATGAATTTTATTATTAATATATCAAGTCCTAAGTGTATAAAGTCTACAAAATGAAACACAAAATAAGACACCCACAGATTTCACAAATTATTTGACAAAATCAGGCATAACAAATTGAAAACATTTACAACTTTCTGAACAGATGAGAACTGGAAGGGAAGAAAAATGAAAGAACTAACACTGGGCATAGGTAACAAGAAAATGCCAACACCAATCACAGGAGGGGATATATTTTGATCGACAAACAGAAGAGAAAAATGATTGTAAAGAAAGATGCTAGAATCAGAAAATCATCATCATCAAGCTGGGGCAAGCTTCTTGACTACTGCTGCCATATACTTCCCCTGATGCTCAGCAAGCGCCAACTCAGTTTCACTCGGCCCTCTTGTGCCATCACCAGCAAAAACACCAGCACCATACGGAGAACCCCCTCGTACAGAGTCCATCTTAAACATGCCAGCTCCAAAAGTATACCCAATGGGAACAAACAGCATTCCATGATGTGCCAATTGGGTGATTGCCGTCCAACTGCGATAAATAGCAGAACACAAGTCTCAACAAATTTTCTCATTCATTTACATAAACATTTACGGGCTTTTATCCATAACAATTTCAATGATTTTATTCAAATGATGGATATGATCCTAGTATACCACAGAAAGGGGAGACGATCGCATTACAAGGTACTTCCACTTCAGACTCTTTTTTCCTAGTCAAAATACTTCTACTTCAGATTGTTTGAGACAAATAACCCCAAAGTAGAACACGCATAAACAAAACAACATTTCATTATTTTGCGAAAATGAAACACATACATACATCCTATATGTACCATTTAACTCTCAAACATATTTGCAAGGTGAACCTCACAACTTCAAGCACATTAACCCAGAAGCACAAGGACATGCCATTTATTCTACTTCATATTGGAAATAATGTGACCTTAAAGCTTGGGTCTTTAATGTCATTTCTTCTAATTCATATTGGTTGGAAATGCTGCCACCTTAAAGACCCACGCTTTATTGAGTTAAAATTAAACAATAATCTCTATACAATCACACACTAGCATGCATAGAGCTTAGAAAAGTCATGACAATTGTGTAGCTAAAACTCATAATGCTTCATTTGGTTAACAATAATCTCCATTGATCTTCAAGACTAGATACACACATTAACAAGCATAAAAAACCAATTTTTGCAGACCATATACAGAACCAACTAAATTACTCAATTCCCACTTCAAATTCACAGCTTCTAAAATAATAGAAGAGAAACAATTAAGAATTGAGGCAAAAGCTTACGCAGTGGTTTCTTGGCCGCCTCCTTGAGTTCCAGTACTGACAAAAAACCCAGCAGGCTTCCCAGCGAGGCTCTGCTCCTTCCACAACTGCCCCGTCGAGTCGAAAAAAGCCTTCATCTGCGCCGCCATGCTCCCGTACCTCGTCGGAAAACCAAACAAAACCCCGTCCGCCGCCGCCAATTCCGCCGCCAAAATCTCCGGAATTTCGGTGTCCTTCGGCGGCGCCTTCATAGACTCCAGCACCGCACTCGGCAGCGTCTCGGGCACCCGATAAAGCAACCCCTCAACGCCGTCCACGCCGTCAACGCCCTTCTTCATCCTCCTCGCCAAATCCTCCACATGTCCGTACATCGAGTAGAACACTATGAATATCCTCAATTTCGGGGCCGGATGCGAATTCGGATGCGATTCGGCGGAGACGTCGTCGTTTCGGCTGGGAGTGGTGGAATTGGGATTGTCGTCCGTGGGGATCGGCGCGTTTCGTGAGGCGTTTGGGTGGGAGGCGTCGGGATTGGCGCCGCTGGAGGGGACCTTCTTCTTGCTTGGGACACAGCCCCCACCTTTCCCCATCGAGAATAACGATATTACTCAATGAGGATAAGAAATAAGAAGTGTGCACCAAAACCCAAATACCAGTTTTGTATTTGGAGCTTCGTTTCTCAGTGGCAGTTAGGCACAGAGCCCAGAGCTTCTTCGTTCCAAGCTGTAAAAGGAGCCAAGTAGGACTAGAATTTGGCTGCAACCCAATAACTTACTGTATGTATGTATATCTGTAAGGACACGTGTCGGTTTGAGGATAAAAATCACCTCTGGTTTTGAATGTTTTTTAATTGATTTTTTTCTTCATTTCTATTTATGTTATTGTGAAAAAAGTTTGGTGTAGTGGTTTTGTTTTTTTTTCCTTCACAAATGACTGAAATTCTAAATTACGTTAATGTACAGTTAATGTAAAGAATGAAGGATCAAACTCGGTTGCAATAGAGAGGTACGATGCTGTCAAATAGCCTAACTTACGTCTGTTTTGGTGTGGTGGGGTTTGGAATTATGTAGATGAGCATCTTTAGGAATTTTGGTTTAGCAGTCATTATTATTAATCATCTAGGATCTACCTAACATCTCCAACCCCATAATAATATGATATGATTGATTAAAATATAGTGTTGAATAAGGCCATTTTGTCCCAGGGAAAAGTCAGTCCCCTAAATTCTAATGAATAAAGATGGCACCGATTTAAGTTGATGGTGATGTTGTTGGAAGAAGCCAAGAGGCAAGTGGGGAGATTTAATTTTACAAGCATGGGAATAAATAAACAAAACAAATGGATTCTTAATCTTTATTTAATTGTTGAAGAGGTGTGGCAACTCAGGAATTTAATAAAATGTGGATTCGGTGGCTGTTCATCATTTGGATAGCAGAGTAGTCTGATTAGTGATCACAAGGGCCTTTTGAAACTTGAAGTGATACAAATCCAAAGCAGGAGATGATGATCATATGATGAGTTGCTAGGTAAAGAAGAAATCATATGGAATTAGTTTCATGGCTCAAAGAAGCTGATCTCTTCCAATTTAAGGAACATTGATGTAACACAAAGGTTTTTTCTTTATTGAGTGAAATATAAACGCAATTGTAGCCGTTAGATCAACAAATCCGCCCTTCCCTACCAGGGTAAATATCAATGTCAAGCCACTCGATCATGTTCAGATTCAATGCGAATTCACATTGTAGGTGAAACCCTAACACAAGGCCACCAGCCAGCAAGCCAGTTTTAACCCTCCAAAAAGAGACCACGGCTTGCACATGGTACATTAAGATACTACTTAGTGTAAAGTGCAAATACTTGTCATGAAATTCACAAACAGATTCAAACGAGTCACGTTTTGCTCAAGAACTATATGACACCGGAAAGTTACTCAAAGTGCAATTAATACCTGTCAACTAAAATTCACAAACAAATCCAAATGAGTGAAGTTTTGCTCAAGAAATATACAGCACTTGAAAGTTGCTCTAAAAAAGTGCACATAAAAGCTCCCAACCTTAGTACATAAATCTTCAGCTTGGACTCTACTTCTACAAGTCACTGGAATTGTCAAAGCTACATACAATACACCTCTCACTTAGGATTCCTAAGAACAATGATAACTGAATCCCCACGGAGAAACATCTTGCTGATGAATCTATCCTTGTTAACCGGTTGGGCTTTTTTCTTGCCTTTTCCAGTCTTTGGCACCTGCATAGACAAATGAAAGATAACACAAATATCGTGAGTTAAAAGAACGTTGATGATTGATGAAGATCTACCAACACAAATGAAAACAAAACACAAGAAAACCCCATGATGGGAAATACCTCAGTCCACATCTCCCTGACATTTTCCAGAACCATGTTGCAATGCCTGTCGAATGCTCTTACACGTCCAAGAAGCTTTCTGTTGTTACGACAGTTGATGAGCACCTGTTTGCACAATGAGAACCAATTTGAATAAGTCTTGATATGTAAAGCCTTTATGGACAGAGAACTATAAAATTATAAGAAAGCATTACCTGAGTATTATTCTTGACACTCATCATAAGAACAGAGAGTGGTCCGGTATTAAATTCCTCTTCCTCATTCTTGGTAACCTGCAGCATTCAGGTTGGATGAGATTCTTCACAAATTGATGATAACAATAAGAATAAATATGCCGAATTAGGGTTTCATAGTGAGAATATGACCAAATAAAGGGTTTCAGAATGAGAAGCAAAAGATAATCACATTCGACCATGTCATATACCAAGAGAGATCACTCTCAAACATTTGGTCCCGATGGTTTTATTTCGCAGGAACCGGAAATGAGTGAATGTTTGGCGGTCTATCAGAAGAACATAAAAAAGTATCACGCAAACACAGGAGGCACAACAGAATTACTCTTTGATAATTATTGGTCTTCTGGTGCATTAAACAAAAAGTGACTAACTGATGAACAACAGTCTTTTGAACTTAGATTACTTTCCATGAAATGCCATCAAAATACTGAAGATAAAAAAGCATAAAAAAAATTTAAAAGTTACAAATGGAGTACCATTCAATACAATCACAGAGGGTTAACTATGAGATATTGCTAAACTGCCACTGGTTCAAAGTTGCAAATTCCATATCCAAACTCAGGACAACACATTTTACTCAATCTCTCAGATAAACCCATAACATTTAAAGATGCAAAGAGAGTTATGATAAAAATGCACTAAATCAATGAGCTCGAGAGCAGAATAACTTACATCTTCCTCCATTGGCCGGCTGGAAACGGAGAGGGCAATAAACACAAAACAAAAAAGGAAACAGTGTTAGTGTTTCGGTAAAAAGCTAAAAGATAATTGCAACTTTGAAATATCAAATTAATCATATACCTCATCTTGAACAAAGGATTTGTATGTTTCTAAGACTTTCAACCTGCCAAGGAACAACAAGATATACGAAATTAATCAATCTGAGTACTAAGTAATACATGAAAGAACGGCAGACACTACTAATATAAACACTATGTAGCACCGATACGCCACGAGGGAGGGATCCCGATCCCGATTCGATCCCGAGAAGGAGAAGGAGGGAGATAAAAGGAGAAGAAAGAAGAAAATAACTTACTTGAGCTTGCAGCAGCTGCAAATCTCCAGTTGCAGTTGCTCTGCGATGAATAGGCGGCTAACTGGTGAAGAAGAAGATGTTAAGTGCCCTAATTACGAGACGAACCGTTCTAGTTTCACTATGGGCTAGTGCCTAGGTCTGTTTCACTAATGGGCCTTTTAGTAAGTACATTTTCACTTATGGGCTACTTTTATTTTGACAAAAGGACAAGCCCACAATAAGAACTATGAGAACCAAATGGGCTATTACAAGTAAGCCCAATCCAGATGCCCAAACTTTGGGCCTTACATATGGCCCTCACTATAGAATTCTAGATTAATTCAGTTTAATTGAAATAACTACATTCCTGAAAACCCTAGCCCCCTCTCCCAAAAAACACTCTAGAGCTGTTTTCACTTTGAGGGGGGAGGAAGCCATTGTTCTTCCCCCTTCTCCCTTCCTCCTTTCTTCTCTCTTATCCCATTTTCAAAGACATAATGTTTCTCTTATTTGTCTTCATTTTGTTATGATTTTCCACATGCATCTCATCGTCGGATACCCACATGCATTTCGGTGTCAGATCTCTACCATCATCTTTTTTGCAGTTTTTTCATGTTTGGAATAAGCCGCAGAGACTCTTTGAGTTTTATGTGTAGTTTTCACCTCTCTTTTTGTGAGAGTTTTTCACATCTCTTTTGCGAGAGCTTTCCACCGCTCTTTTGTGAGAGTTTTATTTATATTGTTATGACTTGGTTTTTTCAAACTTTATCTCTTTTTAGATGTTTTAGCATTTCTTTGATCTTACGTGATCATTAGTGGAGGAGCACTAGATTGTGTTAATTTTGATGTTAGATCGTTTCATTATTGTAATAGCCCTTTGTGGTTAGTTTGTATTGGCCATTTGTAGCCAATGTCTTTTTTTGCTGAATTATGAATGAAATCCCAAAATCTCTCAACAAAAAAAGAGCGGATGTGCTCCTCACTCTGCATCCAAGTTCGAATCCCCCTTACCGTAATTTAGATTAGATAAAAATAAATATCGCTTGTAAAAAAAAAACAATAATTAAGAATAATAAATAAAATTTTTTGTTCTAATCATTTTGATCATTATTCCAGAGGAAAAAATTTGCAATTTCCCAAAAAAACACAAGGGTCATGAGTGTAATGATCGAATTTCTGGGTGCATATAGCAAACACTTACTACTCAAATAAGTTGCAATTTTTTATATTTTATTTTATTTGTAAATACCATGAGGTGCCCTCACATTCGAAGGGTGGGATTAATCCCCGCTTGAGATTCGGCTTGCTCTTGGTCACAAAGTGCTCCCAAAAAGTTGCAAATTTTTCTTTTTCACATATTCTTACAAACTTAGGCCCAAACACTTTAAAGAGCTCTCTTTCTAAATGGGTTGCTCCAAGATGGCTTCAAGAACAGTATCCCATTTTGTGGGATGTGAGACAGTTGGACGATTGACATGCATTCCCAATTGCATGACTGTCTTACATCTGCAAAACGGGATCCCTTTTTGATTTTTTTAGGTGCGTTATACTAAAGATTATGTTTTATTAGTTTAAATTAACAGGTTATGGTTGATGCTGGTTTAACCACGGGTATTGGGTGGAAGTTTTTAAAATAAATTATTGGTATCTAGTGATTCTAAGCAGCCCTGTGAATGATCCATGATCCTGATTTACAGAAAGTTTTCCAATCAGGCATGTGAATGATCCCGAATTCGGACAAAATGCTCATAGCCTTGTAGGCACCTGACTAATTAAGCTTTAGCTAGAGCTGCCTTATAGTTCTATATATTTTACCATTCTCCGATATTTAATTGGTTCCTAAAACTATTTTCTAAGTAAGCATAAAAAAAAATATGGACGCAAGTATGCAGCATTCTCAGTGGGAAAGTAATTGCCTCTACTTTAGGCTTTTAGCAAACCAAGATATGATTTCCTCAATTTTAATAACAACAGAAATGTTCTCCCTCAATTTGAGGGAACCTCCACCAATTCACACACCTTTTGTCTTGTAGAAAATCTAAGGTTTTTACCTCTATAGTCTAGCTAGACACTAGTTATATGTTAGATGGTGATTGATGACACTGTTGCTAGTAAGCACAAAACCCTTAATTTAAACAATTTGAAATTTAAGTTTTACCTAGGGGAGTTGAGCAGTACATGGAACTCATAATGCATCGTGAGTCTGCATCGACTGATTATAATTGTTGATGTATATGAGACTCACAGTGCATTAATAATCAATATCGTGAACCAACATGAGCTGATTTGACCGCGGCATTGCTCTATTTAACATGTCAAGTCATAGTTTGGTAGCAAAAAATTATTGCCTTTTACATACGCACAGCACTGTCGACGGATCTAGGAACACCTGAGGAGGAATCTAGAACAACATAATTTGATGCTCCGAGTATCCATACCTACACAGAACTGAGCTGCTTCAACATCTTAACACGTGTTCAACAAGATGTTTTAACCCTTTCCCAATTCAGATTATCAAGGCGAGGGGCCATAAAAAGCTATATATACTAGTGGAGCACCATGTGCTAAAGCTAGAGGTAGTTCACTGGTTTTGCACAAGAGAGGAAAGCCAGCTTTAGAATCCCTTAAAAAAGTGCAAAGAAAAATGTGTTACCAAAGGACGAAGGAATGCCACATACCCTTTAGATCTTGTCAATCAAAACCATCCACACACTTGGTGCAGTTTCTGGAAGTTTAATAATAATTAATTGATTTAAGTGTGTGTTAATTAAGTTTAGAATTAATTTAAACCCCTAAAAGATACACACTTAGCTGTTGGGAAGATTTCTTGCTTTTAAGTATATGGGGAATAATCCTACTTTATGTTGTGTATACGTGTAGATGCGGGGACCTAATTTTGATTAGGGGGGCTTTTATAAATGAAAGTGACAACCTCAGGGTTTGTCTTCCAATAGAAAAGATTATATGTGTTAATTAAGTTTAGAATTAATTTAAACCCCTCAAAGATACAGACTTAGCTGTTGGGAAGATTTCTTGCTTTTAAGTATATGGGGAATAATCCTACTTTATGTTGTGTATACGTGTAGATGCGGGGACCTAATTTTGATTAGGGGGGCTTTTATAAATGAAAGTGACAACCTCAGGGTTTGTCTTCCAATAGAAAAGATTAAAGGTAATCTTTTAAAGTATTTGACTAATAGCTTTTTATTTTTTCACCGACGGGTAAGATGTGGGTTAGGTTTTTCACTTTGGCTAGCAAGCTATGATTGGCCGGTGTTGTTATATTTGGATGTGGTGCTCTCTAAACCATGCTTTTGGAGCTTAATTACTATATAATAATATGCACTTAGGTCATAATCCACCTAAAAATGGCATAAATTAAGGCGTAATTCAAGGGTTGTTGAAATCAATGTTGTAATTAACCATATGCGTAGGGTTTTCATCAAATTAGGGCACAAAGTTAGAGGAAGAGGAGGGCATGATGCTCTTAGTATGGGAAGAGGGAAACATGGAAGGCCACTGTGTGTGGCACATACAACACAAACAAACTTGACTTCATCCAGAAGGAGACCTTGGAAATCTTGATGACACTAATCGCACACACCCTATCCAATTAAGCACCTGCTTTATACTTTATGTTTATAGACATTTTGTAGGGCATATATATATATATATGAAAAATTTGGCTTTAGTAGAAATTAATAATGGCTAAGGGGCTTTAGGTAAGTGGGGGCCTAGCTAGCTAGCAAGCATCCATCATGCATAGTTACATGTAATGTGGACAGAAATCTAGGGTGTCTCTTTCATGTGAAAATGATTGGTGGAAAGAAAATAATGCCAATGCATACTGTAAACCCTAGTGTAACTTTAACTACTTGATTAAGCTAGTGTATTAGTTGATGTAATTAAGTCAATTAATCTTAAAAAGATCCATAATCTTCCTTTTCACAAACATGTAATGTTATTGCCACACAAAAGGGTTCAAAAAGCCAATGTTCATGTTTATACAAATATAAATAAAAGTGAATTATTATGGATCCATAAGATCTGATTAGCCTGTGGAATTCAGGCGGGACCAGTGCAGTGCATATTCCTTTCTTCTTCTTTTTTCTTTTTTTGTTCTAAAGGGAATAAAATTGATGAAAGTGGTGTGATCAGACAGATGGTTCCAAATGCGATTTAGATGTTAAGCTTTCCCTTAAACAAGGGCATAAACATTTGATTGTGGCTAATTAATAATGGCTGGAAATATATCTTAGTACACTACCATTAGCTGTTTATCATCTAACTCGGAGTTGGAAGATGGGAAACAAAGGTGGGAAGTGTCGGGATAAACATGACACCCATTAGTTTAGTCTTGTTGATTTTGTTTAGTGATTAATAATCAAACAAAAGTTGATTAGTATTTAATTAAAACCCCGTAAAACAACTCAAAAGCATACAAAAGGAATCCCTTCCACGCCATGCGCATGCCAGCTTAGCAGAATCCTGCTCCCTCTCTCTCTCTCTCTCTCTCTCTTGCTTGCTTGTCACTCGTTTCATCCTTATCCGTTTATTACCATTTGTTTACTTTAATCCAAGTTAACCATAGTAAACCCATAGAGCTTATCTTTGCCAAATCTTTATTTGTATTTATTTTCTTGCTTCAAAGGACTACCAACCGAATAAATTAGCCACAAAAATCTAACCCTAAAAAACCACATAGGAAAGAAACAACAACATGCGTGCATGAACAGTGTTCACAAACACCAAACCCAATCAATGACATTTCTTGACTTTGGCAAACCAGCCCCTCCGACTTTTACTGACAACCCTCTTCTGCACCATTCGTTAAAATGGGGTCCTAATTCTCTATAGAAAACCTTACACGTGTCATACGACCGGGTCTGATCTTTAAATGTACTTGGAGTAATGCACTGCTTTCTTTACTTCATTCTTACACCAATATGGGAATTACTTGAACCAGTTTTCTTTGTTTTTGATTGATTGAATTTTGACCCAAATAGAAAACCCACAAAAGAAGACCTTCCCCGTTCCATACACGTATGAATTCAATGTTGCATTCGGTGAATGTAGCCTACGAAGAAGTGTTATGGATACACGGTGGTGGCGAGAGAGAGAGAGAGAGAGAGAG